AGTTTCATGCTAGCTGCTGAAAGCAAAACAAAACCCAAAACTAAATCATCTCCAGATCCAGCACAAGCATTTTCAGATCCAGACACCCTCCTCTCACATTCTCTGTTCCCACCACTGATCAGTGGTTTACACTGATCAAATGAGACAGACAATATGTCCAACATGGTGGCAAAGCAGCCATCCTGCTGTGCCAGGGATTGACAGAACCCACTCACTCGCCTCTGCCAACCCATAGAGGACATGCAGACAGGGCCTGGCACGGGTCCTGAGCCTTGACCACTGCAGCTTCACGCTCATGATCTGGGATTTCTGGAATTTCCTGTTCGCACACATGCACTAAACAAAAAGTACACATTTACACACTGATAGCATTAGCAAGAAACTGTTTTGGCCTGCTAACAGAGTTACAGCAAAAGAATAGAGACAGAAATATCCATCCATCTCTTACTGGAACACACATTTCACACTTGTCCTACCTGGAAAGTTTAAAGTTTCAAACATTCAGTTTGACATTTTAACATTATAATTGAATAGAAAAATGGTAATTATTAATATTATACCATAAAATGATTATTAAAGTATAATAATATCAAACATGTAAAACTGCCAGTATTTAAATTGACTTATCAGAACAGTTCTTTTATTCTCCACACAATTTATGGTGGGATTAACTGCTGTCATCAGAACTAAAGAACTCTCCCCCATCTGTTTTCCATTTCTGTTCTGATTCTACTTCTGTTTCTCATTATTCTATTTAATAAAGCGATTAAACAATGAAATTAAAAATAAAAATATATGTTTAATATGTTGTTTTCTCTGTCTCACCACTTAAATTAGATGGCAAAACTTTGAACACATTTGAGAGCACGGAGAATATTATTTATTTTGCGTGCAGGTATTCATTGAATATTCTTTTTAATTTGAATATGCATACGCATTTTAATTTGAGTATTTAATTTGAATATTTTAACAATAATGAAAAATGTTTTTTATGGATATCTACTTTTAGATACTATGCAATCTACTTTTCTCTAGTCACTCAGTGATCGGTCTTTTCTCTTTCTACCACTTGTTTCTCCTTGATCACTCTTTCAACCTCTCCTTTTCATTCCCCCCTCTGCCGTCTCCTCCCTTTCCTGGTGGTAATGCTGTTAGGTAGGGATAGAAAGATGTCATACAGTGCAATGGGCACCTCAAGTCAAAGCAATGCGATATTAAAGCAGGACATGTTGTATGATTTGCTTCACTTGTCTTACTATACTGTATATTAGGTGTCGAAGGGAGGAATCTCCAAGGCATTGCATTGAACCCACAGGCTTGGATAAACAGAAAAAAAGGCAAGCTGACAGTATGGTGACAGGTTGTATCCTACACATACGGTTCCATATAAAGAATAGTGTCTATATCCTAGAAATGGGTACAAGTGATCCTGTTGGCCATCAGTATGCTAGTCAAATCAGCAGAAGAGGGATGCACTTTTTTTCTCTTTTAAAGCTTTAATGGATAAGATGATTAATGAATGATATGTTTGGAAATTTTCTCTTGTAAAGACTGCATTATTTCACCTTACCTGCGTTATGCCCAATTTTAAGATTTAGGGCTTCCAGCCTCATAAACAACAGCCTCTTTTCTTCTCTGTCTTACTTGTACCCTCTCCCTCTCTTCTGTGATCCAGGGGCTTTCGAACATTTTTTGATGTCAAGGACCCCCAAATGTGACAATCCCCTTGGGAATGACTATTTTCTAAATATATCTATATTTTTGCTGGTTGGTTGTTTACAGTATTGTTAGTGAAGCAGAATAATCCATTACTGAAACCATCAAAACCAGCTTTGCATTATGTTAAACAAAAGAAAATGCATTCATCTGCATGTAAACCTGGGGAATTGTAAAGTAATACGCTGTCGAGTGTATGAAAGGCGTGAAGGTGGAGAGTATTTACTGACAGAAGCAGTTGTGCACCAACCACCAACTGTGTCTCTCTCACACACAAACATCACCATCTGCTCCTGTGTGCGCCATTAGCCCAGTGTGTAATGTGTGTGTAGGTGGGTCAGCTCAGTCACGGCAGCAATCAGGGACAGAGGCGGAAAAAAGTACCTCATCAGATTAGGAAGAAGAATGCTTATGGTGTCAAGAGGTATGAAATACAACCAGCCCCATCTGTTCTCACTCTCTCAGTGTCATTATCATCAACTCTCTAATTATTCTCATTACGACTGTTTATTTAGAGTCACAGTAGTCATTCTCATATGGCAGCGTCATTCACTACATACCTTGAGAGCACGACCACCGGCGCCCCGTCGGCTCTGACATTCATCGATCAGCGCTAGCATCAGACAGACAGGTCATGCTTCACTTGGACTACTGAGGCTGAGATCTACAAGAACACCACTGCGACCTAAAAGAATAAAAAGATGCTCATGAATGTAAAAAAACATCAGCCTTTAAGGATTTAATGACATTTCTGAGGCAGCGAGTTGACAACCACCCTCAGTGCACCAGTAACCACAGGAAATCATTAGCAGTAAGAGCTCATTTCAGCTCTGCTCCGTCTGATTGAGGAGCTAAAGGAGAACTTCATAATCATGTTAAATTAAAGGTCCTTTAGATTTAATCTCACCCTTTCCAATTTCTTAATTACTTATTTGTCCCAATGATTTGCTTTACTGAGCCCATTAACGTCCCTTTTCACCTCAGAATTAACCAGTAGCAGCTGTAATCATGCCAGTGTGAAGCCCTCTTCATTAGAGCGCGCACACGCACACACACACACACACTGGGGAACATGTCAGAGGAAGCTCACACTCTTCTGATGAAAACCAGCATTAAAGTCACTTCAGGTGGCGTTTCAGAGGACGAACCCAACTGTGCTGAGATGATCTGAGGCTGCCACACTTTCCTACACAACTCACACACTCATCACAGAATATGAATCATCATCCAATACTCATGTCCCACTCTTTGTGTGATGTATCACTGCATATGTAATGCAATTTATGTTTAAAATGAAATATTTCCTCAAACAGTCACCTTCTCAGCATGGTGCAAATCTTTCATATCTGCTGTGAATCATCCTGAAGATGCCTGCTCCACTCGCTCTGCCAAAACAGGATATTAACAATTAAAGCAGCACCGCTATATCATCATTTCTCAACACCCCAAAATGTTGGTACATGATGGACATTTATCATTGTAAGAATGACGATGTGAACTGCATGTGCAATAATAATAAATCATTGGAGAAATGTGCGATGATACCGTAAGCTTTGCTGTGTTAAAAACCAAAGTAAAAAGCAGATCAATGTTTCAAAAGAGCTTCAAAAACATTGTCCGAATAAGGATTAAGGTGAAACCTTCCCAACTTTATCGGTCCATCTGTGTGGAACAGCATGCACTCGGCTCCTGCGGTTATTACATTTGATTTTGTCAGAGAGATGGGCCACAAAACTGTTCAGGGCAGGCCATTCAAGAAATGGACAGTTTGTTGGCACTGCTGCTAAATGACCTTAGCACAGAGATTGAGCTATTATACTTTTAATGACCACGGCAGGAAACGTTCCCTTAATCCTGTCTGATTGCTGAAGTGATAAATTTCCACTTCCAGCAGGTTTAAAGCTAATTACCATTATGGACATACCTGATAATTAACTTCACAATAATCACATCCTCTTCCGTCCCGTCTGTCAGAGAGCGCCATGATGGATGTAACTGTAAGGTACAAAAGCATTTGTACACATGATCCAAACAATGAAATGGACAGAAACAATACGTTATACACACATACAGCAAACTCGATAAAAGATTATATTGTGATGTGATAAGCTTTTCACCTCTTAACACTGTCCAGAATGCACACTATTAATCAAATGTTTGGGGTCATTAAGATTTTTGGTAACACTTTCTATGAAGCCCGTATTTATAATACACTATAAGGGTATTATTAAGGCATTATAATGAATGCATAATGCATTATAAAAAAAACTTATAATATGTTATATCAACTCATGAATAATCATAACAACAGTTATAATACATCATAATACTTACGTATTTGTGGTTATAAGTTTAAGAGTATGATTTATAACACAATGAACACCATATTAAATCTACTTCATTTACAGAATAATGGACTGTATCATATCTTGACATTGTTTATTTAAGATCTGCACAGTATCTTACTACAGCTTGTGAGTGGTTAGATGTTGAGTGTTATTTGAGTGTTTCCTGTGGAGCTAATGTTAATTAATTGATGTGAGCTTTATACTCCAACTGAAAAAAATGCAATGTTTTATATGGTTACATTTTATTTTGATGGTCCCCTTAATCAATCGACTATAAGCAACTTTGCAACTACATGCCAACTAACTCTCACTAGAGTATTAGTATGCTCAAGAATGGTATAATCTAATATGGTAGAGTAAATTGACGTACTTGCAAAGACACTTATAATCAGCGACTAGATCGTTTTAACAATCATTCCAATTCTATGTCAACTGCAAAGTCCACACCACAACTATAAATGTAACAAGAGGAACAATATCATTGGAATCTGTGGCCATATAAAGCACTACACCGTTGGCAATACGTATCCACAGTTTGACACATTTAAAAAAAAATTTTTAGATTAGATTAGATTTCCCTCTAAAACCAGTGTAGACAATGCATTAAAAAAATAAAGTCCACAGATTTCATCTGGGCTTTTCAGTCTCCAACACCAGTTATTTTTCTCAAAATCAAAATAACCATTAAGTTCAACACATTCCCCTCTTTCCTTCAACAATACAAGTTATGTTCAATGCCAAAAGAACTGTTCACCCTGTAAGGTTCTCACTTTTTTAAAAACTCCCATCAGTGCCAAGTAGAAATGGCACCTATAGATTGGAGTATACACATGGTGTAGCCTGTGCCGTTGTGGGCAAACATTAATAGCAAAAGTTCATGGGCAGAGGAAGTGTAAGAAAGTTTAATTTCTCTAAGTTACAGTCATTTTACTTGTAAATGTGGGAGAAGGTGAGAGACAGACAATTACAGCAATCACACTCTTAATGAAACCAGCTCAAACCATCACAATAAATCGAATGACACAAATGCACTTCCTGGCTGATAATCCACTTGAGGTTAGGAAATCGAAAGATTGTGTTGTGTGTCACCAGCTGTGACTGGGGGACCACAGGGCATATTTGAGTCAGCTGGGTCTGTGGTTGCAACAGATAGCTGAGGCAGCAAAAACGGTCTCTTTTACACATACACACACAACTTCATGTCTCAACACTTCAGTCAGCCTTTCAGCAGCTTGACACCATGTGGGAACATCTAGATAACATTTCCAGCGTTCCTGGCCTCTGTCAATATTAGTCTACATACTTAAGACATATGGGGTTAATGGGACACACACCCAGCCTGTGATTCAAATCCAACAATGGTGCTCTCAATTAAACCAACATTCATGACATGTTTTATGAAAAAAAAAAAAAGTTTATTGAAGTATTAACAAATGTACATGATCAGTGCTGACAGTTTGCTACATACTTTGGTGTGAATTTGCGAGATTGTGAAAGGCAGGCGGGTCAGGTTTTGTATTGTACTAAAGAAGAGTTTGCCATGACCGGTTCTGCTGCGGCCCCATGAAGCAGACTCCAGTTCCCACAGTTAAAACAGTCCACATTTACACAAAAAGGGTTAGCCAGGATCAGGTTTAAAAGAGCCGGTCTCTCTCTCTCGTATGCCCACACACTTTCACACTTAGCTTCCAAGTCAGTGCAGGCAAAGAATATATTCATTAGAAACCTGGCTCAACTTGTACAGAAGCGAATCCCCAATTGACTCCGATCACTCATGTAGAAGAAGGTTTACATCAATCTGTGAGCGAAAACAGGGCTGCAGGCTCATTAGGGTGGGGCTCAACAGAAGTAAGCTGTCAATCACTGGGGTGAATCATATCCCATTTCAACAACAGCGAACTACAGTGGGGCCACTTATGGGATCAGTTGGCAAGTTACTCATCGCAATGTGCGATCCACGCCGAGTCAGCATGTTACAATCACACTTCATTATCTGAATTCATCTTTCCAACAAGACGCCACACAATGCAAAGTGCACAGAAAAGTAGTACAGTTAGTCATTCTCCAGGTTTAATACCGCTGTCAATTTACAAACATCTCCTCACTCTCCTCAGGGCTGTTTCCGTCGTATTCCGACTTCCGCAGGATTCCAGTCTGATCCCATTTCCCATGAACCGCACATAGGCTCAAAAAGCAAAAAAAATAAAACAATTACCAAGATTATTCTGGAACAGGAAGGGGTTTTCCACGTGAGCCTTTTAGCAAATGGCCAGCCCAGAGAGCGTGCTTACAAAATCAATATTAAAAAGTGTGTCCTAATCTACATTCATCAAGCATTAAGGACATGAGGACAAAGAAACCCATCACAAGTATATCAGGACATGGAAATATATAGAATTATATATATTTATAAAACGTCTTTATTACTCCATATATACACTTTTTAACAAATTGTCCAGGGAGCGGGAGGCTAAAACTGAAGCACTGCTTCATATTACATCACATATTGTTCACTTTTTGTAAAAAGGAAGGTATGAAGGCAGGGGGGAAATACTACGGTAGAAATAGGCACACACAATCCCATGAGCAGACCGAAAGCAAAGGCAAGACAATATTTACTACATTAGTGCCATCAGGAAGTCCTTGGGACAGTTTAACAAGTTTCCGTTTTGATCTGTTGTGGACTGCTCCACTGCTGTAAGAATCCAGGTGTGCGAAATATAAAAACATCTGGGAACCGATCCCAATGGATCAACCAGTTCCAAACCTGGGTTCCTACTATAAAAGGAGGAAAAAGTGGAGGAGTGATCTCTTGAATCCTTTAAACATCAGGTCCAAAGAGAAGCTCCATACATAGGTCTTTATATCTTGCGAAGCAGTGAATTTAGTAGATCACTTCATACACGGTGGCCTTCTTGTCTCCAGATCCTGTCACGATGTATTTATCATCAGCTGAGATGTCACAGCTCAGGACAGAGGACGACTCCTTGGACTGTAGAGGGAGGAAAGCAGGAAAACTATTAGCTGACATAAACAAATAGCGACTCGGTGACATCATAAACCACAGAGCAGCATGTCAACATTACTCCCTTCTAAATATTATCTGAAGCATTTAAGCCACTCTGAGAGGCAAGTAGGTGTGTAGACAATTGGCACCATATGTGACCAGTGCAGAGTTGTGTGACTTTTGCCTGAAGCAGGGAGCCTTAAGTTGTTCAAACTATTTAACGACCATCATCTAATTGAATGTCAGCAAGAATTCCCCTTGTTAAACCGAATTAATAGATTATCATAACAGATTACCATGTCAGCAGTCAGAATGAAAGAAAGCGGAAATGTGTGAAATATCAGAATACAAATTTTTAGCCAAAAAATAAAAGCACAATATTGCTGATCATACTCTCACTAGTAAACAGAGAGCAAGCAATATGATAAACCTGTAGTGGAGTAGCGGTTGACAGAGTACCCAAACCTGTAGTGGAGTAGCGGTTGACAGAGTACAACCCCCCCCCCACCCACACCCCTCCTCTTTTAGCTTAATTTTTTATTTCAGTTTTAGTCATTCTATTTCAGTCAGTTGCCAAGGCCAAAGTTTGTCCTAAGATATACATTTATTTAAAACAATTATTTATTTATATTAACATTTATTTAAAACAAATTTTGATAGTTTTAAACTTTAGTTTAACAATAACAAACACCAATTGAAAACTGTAGCTGAAAACTTTACTGACACTACCGATTGTCTATTTTATGATGTCCATTATTTTGACACGGCCACTCAGAATGGCTCAAAAATGGGAGCCTTGTTTCCTTGTGCTAAACCATTAAACTTGCAAAATGTTTGTCTACAAAGATGCTGTTTTTAGCAGACTGATGACCCATTTTATGTACAGCTGCATCTCCACAGCAAAAATAAAAGCCATCACTCAAAGACTCTATTACAACAGGGATAAAAGTCCCAAAGAAAGCCTGAGGACAGAATCTATCAATCTCACACTAGAAATCACACAAGCACACATTCATTCCCAATGTATTGTGGTCAGTAGCGAAGGGAGGCAATGAGGTATTGATTGACATACCTGGAAAATGCTGGCACCATAGGGAGTCCTCCAGGCATTCAAGAGGTTGTCCTTCCCAGTGCTCACAAACCATTTACCTTTAGGAAATGGAACAAACACACATGCACTAATGGGTACAGAGTCAAGGTTGATCTAAATGACTTGATTCACTACAGCTCGACTTATTTGGAAGCAGAGTGAGCCATTAAGAGAAAAAGAGAGAGCGCTGGGGGTGGTACAAAGTGCAACCTGGCCCAGCTAAAATGGAAAAACACCACTGAATACTAAAGTAACACAGAAGTACTCTGTGCAGTTGTTTTCCCATGTCATGGCTCAGACATATTTCATAGCAAGTCTATTGTTTTTCCCCCATTTATTCTCAGGTGCAAGATGCACTACATATAAGGTGAAGTAACAGTGTCTTACCACAGTAGGCAAATTTGAGGGAGAGGACACAGCTCTCGTGCAGGTGCAGCTGGTACTTGTCAGGCTTGGTGTGATGAAGCACCTCCACATTACTGCTCTCCATTCCCACAGCCAGCCACTCACCCGTCGGACAGTAGCCCAGAGAGAAGATCTAGATGAGAGCACAAAGCACAAAGGCAATCACACACTTATCTAAAAGCATATAGGCAATTTATGCACAAACACAGATTTGGATTTTCGATATATTAACAGAAATGGAACAGTAAAGAAGTCATTAAACTAAGTCAAGAAAACTTTATGGTACAATGCAGTGTATACACATTCATATAGATAAATACACTAGTGTTCAAAGGTTTTGTTTTGTTCCCCCTCAAAATTAACACTTTTATTCAGCGTAATTGTTTTCTACATTAATATGTTACGTGAGAACCAAATCAGCATACCAATCAGATTTTTGAAGGATCATGTGACACTGAAGACTGGAGTAATGGCTGCTGAAAGTCAGCTGTCATCACAGGAATAAATTACATTTTAAAACAAATTGAATAGAAAATGCTTACTTTAAATCATAATATTTCGCAATATTACAGTTTTCACTGTATTTTTGATAAATGCAGCGTTGGTAAGCATAATAGACTTCTTTCAAAATTATTACCGCTCAAAAGTTTGGGGTTGGTGAGATTTTATTAATGTTTATATATGATTTGTGTGTGTGTAACGTTTTACCTGTGAAGTAAAGTCATGCTGCTGGAGCTGTCGTCCCTCTCTGAGGTCCCAGGACCGTACCGTGTTGTCCAGTCCACCTGTCCACAGTTTGGTGCCATCATGGGAAATGTCTATACAACTTGCACCATCTGTGTGGCCTTGGAACTGCCTACATACATAGACAAAACATATACACATTGTCGTTTAATGCATCAGAACAGCGTATGCATCTCTATCCACAAAGAGACACCATGTCATGCAGCAACCCTTGGCTTGCTTCCTACCTGACAAGGGTTTGGTTATGAAGGTCCCAGACAGCAATATTTCCATCACTGCAGCAGGAGAAGCAGACCTTGGCATCAGGGCTGATAGCCAGCGCATAGCAGGCCGGGGCAGAAGAGGTGAGCTCGGCTTTGATACGGGGAGTCTGAGAGGCCAAATCCCATATGGTCAGAGTGCTGGCTTCCCCTCCAACGATCAAAGTACGGCCATCCGGAAGCAGCTTACAGGATCGGATATAGTTATCCCTGTTCTAAAGAGAGAGAGAGAAGCATGGAACATGGATCTGTTGAAAGACAGACATTTTTGGAACGCTGCATTAAAAGAGGATTTTGGTGGGGGGATTTTTTTTTTTTTTGTATTTTATAAGAATATGTACAATATCCCTCTCCAGCCCCTTAATAATCAGGCTGAAGTGGTGAACCAATCAAAATGGCAGGGCTGAAAAGCAGCCGTTCAACTCTGTTATTTGCTCTGGCTCTCTAATTCCTGTCTAACCTGTGTTTATGAAGGTTAATCGAGGAGGAGAGGCGGCCGATAAGAGGGCACAGAATGGTAAGTGGGTATCGAAAGGCTTTTAAGGGTTTTTAGTTGCAGCACCAGGATGAAGCACATTTTCAAATTAGCAGGAGAATTCTAGATCTGTTCCTGAGGGAGATCAATAAGTCCAGGCTTTCAGACAAATTAAATCACTTTATAATGGCCGAACAGCTCATCAAATACACCCCTTTCTGAACTATGGAGCAAGCACAGGGACATGCACACACACAAAAAAGTAAGTTACAAAGACCGAGGGGGATAATGTATAAAATTGTCATTATTATTACAATTATTATATTGTTGCTTTTGTTAAAATAAATCACAAGATGGCCACAAGTTGAATATTCAGATTAAATCACTTTATAATGGCCGAACAGCTCATCAAATACACCCCTTTCTGAACTATGGAGCAAGCACAGGGACATGCACACACACAAAAAAGTAAGTTACAAAGACCGAGGGGGATAATGTATAAAATTGTCATTATTATTATTATTATATTATTGTTGCTTTTGTTAAAATAAATCACAAGATGGCCACAAGTTGAATATTCATTTTTTTCCCCCAGTAGTCTGTTTTATTCAAACAATTATGAACAATTTTGCATTTAGATACATTCTCAGACTGGATCTCTTCTCTCCACTTTCTTTAATTGCGGATTCAATTATTAGATTTGTCAGTATTAATATTTTTATGCTTAGATTTTTTGGGGGGAGATCAAATTGGCACGCGTTGATTGTGTGTTTTATTCAATGTTAAAAGTGTCTTCTAATGTGAGTTTGAATTTTATTTTGCGTTATCTTTATAGCCATAGTGAAAGCAACAATAGATATTTTACCTCAGATCTTGAAAATAAATTAAAGCAAAATTGTACGTTAAAACTGAACTCACTGCGAACCACGTGCATTCCATAAAGATATCAGTCACTCACTCACTCAAAAGTGTTCAGTCCATTCACATTTGAATCATCTATTTTCCGTGTCCACTTTTATAGGATAAAGTCCACAACACCTTTATCTTTTCTACAAACTCACCATGTTTTTGCTGTCACATCGTATCAACGCGACAAAGCATTGCAAATCATTTGAACATTGTGTCAGTACGTTATAAATACAACGAGTCAGCAGTTTACTGTTGGGATTTGTCGTGTCGCGCCGCATCCAGTGCAGCATCACTGATTATAACGAGTTCTTGTATTTTATTGCATCGCGCCGCTCGCGTCCGGTGTAGACACGATGTAAGTTATGTAGCTTTCTGATGCTTCGTTTAAATTTTCATGCCACATCATTTGAAATTAGCGCGGGAAAATTTTTTACTTTTTTCTCTCACGGGCCGGATGTGACCCACGGGCCGCCTATTGAGGAACCCTGCCCTAGAATAACTATACATGGCCCAAAAATTGGTTCTTTATTTAGCAGGGTGATTAAAGGGAGGATAAAGATTACACATAGAAATGTTTAAAAAATTAAAAAGAATGTAATTGTACTTCAGAAGAAATAATTCTGGTGATTTGTGTGGACTGATTAGACAACATCAATATTTACCAGACAGTCGAGTTGTGAGACGGGGCTCTTGCTGCCAGGCTGACTGATGTCCCAGATCTTCACGCAGCCTTTGCCTCCAGTATAGACGTGCCGTGTGGGGTTGCTGATGGTTACGGCGCACACCACCTCACCGTGGCTGAGTGTGTTGATCTGACGGGCATGACGGGGAATACCTGGTCCAATCAAAGCATCTGGAGGAAAAGGTACTGGTTGCATCTGGCCGTCCGCGCTAACATGGAAGGAGTAGGCCCTATTTATCAGAGCATAAAAGGATGAGATAAAAGAATAAGAATGATCAATAATCAGAAATTCTCATACATGTCACATGATCCTTTAGAAATCATTCTAGTATGTTGATTTGGTGCTCAAGAAACATTGCTTATTATTATCAAAGTCAAAAACAGCTGTGCTGCTTTATATTTTAATGGAAACCGTGATTATTTGATGACTAGAAAGATCAAAAGAACAGCATTTATTTGAAATTTATTTAAAAAATATTTTCAACATTATAAATGTCACTTTTGATCAATTTAATGCATCCTTGCTGAATTAAAGTACTAATTTCTTTCAAAGAAAAAAAAAGATAGCGTGTTACACATAGTTTGAGTTCAATAACAGCACTTACGGTTTCCCTCCAGGTATAGAGGTCAGACTTGTTGGCAGACCAGGGGCACGCATGTGGGGATGAGGATCAAAGCCCGCCTGCAACACAGACATCTTAGCATAAAAGAGTAAAATGTGAAAAATACATAAGCTGTAAAACAAACCGAAACTTTAGATTTTGTAGTCTAACTTTTCTCAGTATCAGCTCTATTATCATATTGTAATATATTGTTAATATTCCAGTTAAGCTCTTGTTCGCACTTTAGCTCTCACCTCAAGCCATTATTACAGCCCCTCCCCCCAGACATCTGTTACTTCCCATGCCATCAGCACAAACACAGAGATCCAGAACAAATGCAGTACAAACGCAAAAGGTAATATTTAACCGGAATGCTATCCTAACAGGGTATGCATGCGAAGCTAGACTCTGAGTTAAGGAAGAGAGCCGCTGAAGGCCATTCTAGATGATTAGAGGAACAGGAGGTGTGTGAGTGAGTGAGAGAGAGAGAGAGAGAGAGAGAGAGAGAGAATTATCATATTGTAATATATTGTTAATATTCCAGTTAAGCTCTTGTTCGCACTTTAGCTCTCACCTCAAGCCATTATTACAGCCCCTCCCCCCAGACATCTGTTACTTCCCATGCCATCAGCACAAACACAGAGATCCAGAACAAATGCAGTACAAACGCAAAAGGTAATATTTAACCGGAATGCTATCCTAACAGGGTATGCATGCGAAGCTAGACTCTGAGTTAAGGAAGAGAGCCGCTGAAGGCCATTCTAGATGATTAGAGGAACAGGAGGTGTGTGTGTGGGAGAGAGAGAGAGAGAGAGAGAGAGAGAGAGAGAGAGAGAACTGGAACATGAAAACAAGCTTCTGTTTGAATGTATATGTAATCAAAGAAAAAGACAGGGGGTCTAACCATAGGCGAGCGTCCATAGGCAGCAGCAGCACTCATCTGAGGGGATATGTGTAGGCCAGGGTAAACACCCGGACTGGTCAATGAGCCGTTCATCTCTGGGTGGTGACCCATCATGGCAAACGGAGCCCCATATGGAGGCGCAATCGACAATGGTGTACGTAGGGCAGGTGCTGCTGGGAATATATGAAGAAAAGCCAAAGTTTAAAAGCCATAAATGCATACTCACACTTACAGGTTTGGCTGGTTAGCATAGCCCCATCATTTTTTCTTTGACTCCAGATTAACCACATAGCATCACCAGCTCGGGTAACTGGTGTCAAAAAGTTGTCAAATGATCAAAAATATGGTCAAAAGTTTAGACAAATGAGAATGCTTGATGAAAAGATAGCTTTAAGACGTGTGCATTTACTACTTACTCAGTGCTTCCATGACAGGTAGTTTTCCAGGTATGGGCCTGAGCCCAGGGGTGTTGCTAGTTCCTGGGGTGGGAGCATCGTTGCGTGGGGTGGGGGTGTTGGACTTTAAACCTGGGGTGGAGGACTTGTCATTCTGAAAGATGAAGGAACAGAGATGGAATTAATGCTAGCTAAAGCTACATACCACAAATGCTCAAATCCAGAGAGCTCTCACGCACTAATCCAGTCAAACACTGACAGCTCATTATAGCCGAGGAGGATAAAGCTAAACTTCAGACCAAACCCTTCCCCGAGACCTCATCCTCTCTCACTCATCTTTAATCACTCTCTCTTCTCTCCTCTTCCCCTCTGAGGCCAGCTAAGCGCGTTGAGATATTAGCCAAGGCTAGCGGCTAAGCCGCTGTTTGTCTGACAGTAGCTGATGTATTCATGTTACGCTTCAATCTGACATTTTCGCTGCAGCTATAAAGCTGAGGAGAGGAAGAGGGATTTGCAAATGTGCAGAGACGTGACACCATCAATGTCCATTCTCTATTCCCTAACGCTTACATGTGGGTGGTCCTTCACTTTAGAGGAGGGGGTGCTCCCAGAGGAGGCCACAGAAGCCGGGCTGTTGGGGGCATCTTTCTTCAGTGCTCTGGCTTTATCAAGCCCATTCTCAGGAGGAGAGTGAGACGGGCTGACCCTTGGAGTGGCAGGATCCTACAGTGGGAAAGAGAAACTTCAGTTACATATGAAAGACTAGAAGTTCTCCAACCAAATATGGGAAACAAATATACTAGTTTTTACCTCGTTGGACACATCCACGACCAGATCATCACTTTTGTCACCATCACTGTCCTGTAGTGTATAAACAACAGTTACAGACTCGAGTGATCCAAGAAAATAATGGATTTCTGGAAGTAACACTGATATGAGAAATAACATTTGGCTAAAACACAGCTGGCTGTAAATTTGTCAGTATGAACAATCATACATTTATAGCATGGTATACAGTTTATATATACACTCACCATAATATACACTACAACTCAAAAGTTTGGGGTCAGTGTTTTTTAAAGTCTCTTATGCTCACAAAGACTGCATTTATTTGATTGAAGACAGTAATATTGTCAAATCCAAGTCGAATTTAAAATAACAGCTTTCTAATTTTAAAATGTAATTTTTTTCAGGACTCTTGGATGGTTAGAAAGTTCAAAAGAACAGCATTTATTTGAAACAGAAATATTATGTAACAATGTCAAATGATTTACTTAATTAGGGACTTAATTAGGAACGGACAATATATCAGTATCTTATCACCCATTAGAGATCGCTTACTGGTATCTGTAAATATTAGTTATTTGATCTGAATGCAAACTCATTTGTAGAAAATCACAAAATGAATAACCATTGAAAATGACTGATTTCTGTATGTGGGGCTGTACTATACAGAATCTTACATATCGGCTCATGTTGTCCTTCTCCTCTACTCTGCGTTTCTTCGGGTCCAGACTATATTCAGAAGAGCCTCTGTGTTTCTCACTGGCCCTCAGGCTGTCTGACGGCGATACGGAATTATTCTGCTTAAAGGAAAAAAAAAAAAAAAAAGTTGATCAGCACAAATCACAAATAAAAAAGTTTATCACTGTGCACTTGGTGACAATACACTTAATGTTCCCCTGAAATAATGCTACATTTATAGAATTTGTACATTTTGCACTTGTGTCAAATCAATATTTCAGGATCCTCCCTCAAAAGGTGTCATATCTTGAGAAACCCAAACTAATAGAACCCCCTGAATATCATGTAGCATACATGTATTTACAGTATCTCACAGACGTGAGTACACCCCTCACATTTTTGTAAATATTTTATTATATCTTTTCATGTGACAACACTGAAGAAATTACACTTTGCTACAATGTAAAGTAGTGAGTGTACAGCTTGTATAACAGTGTAAATTTGCTGTCCCCTCAAAATAACTCAACACACAGCCATTAATGTCTAAGCCGCTGGCCACAAAAGAGAGTACACCCCTAAGTGAAAATGTCCAAATTGGGCCCAATTAGCCCAATTTCTCTCCCCGGTGTCATGTGACTCAGTGTTACAAGATCTCAGGTGTGAATGAGGAGCAGGTTTGTTAAATTTGGTGTTATCGCTCTCACTCTCTCATACTCGTCACTGGAAGTTGCAAGCAAATCACCAAACGGCATTCTGGGTTGAGCGAGCGGCACTGAGCGTATTGAGCGAACAGAGTGGAATCTTCAGAAAGGCGCTCTGCGCTCTTAAGGAGATATTACCACTCCGCTCCGCTCACATGCTCTGATGCCAACATGTACTGTGACATACTGAAGCAGAGCATGATCCCCTCCCTTCGGAGACTGGGTTGCAGGGCAGTATTCCAACATGATAACGACCCCAAACACACCTCCAAGACGACCACTACCTTGCTAAAGAAGCTGAGGGTAAAGGTGCTGGATTGGCCAAGCATGTCTCCAGACCTAAACCCTATTGAGCATCTCAAGGTCTCTAACATCCACCAGCTCCGTGATGTCGTCATGGAGGATTGGAAGAGGACTCCAGTGGCAACCTGTGAAGCTCTGGTGAACTCCATGCCCAAGAGGTTTAAGGCACTGCTGGAAAATAATGGTTGCCACACAAAATATTGACACTTTGGGCCCAATTTGGACATTTTCACTTAGGGGTGTACTCACTTTTGTGGCCAGCGGTTTAGACATTAATGGCTGTGTGTTGAGTTATTTTGAGGGGACAGCAAATTTACACTGTTATACAAGCTATACACTCACTACTTTACATTGTAGCAAAGTGTCATTTCTTCAGTGTTGTCACATGAAACGATATAATAAAATATTTACAAAAATGTGAGGGATTTACTCACTTCTGTGAGATACTGTATATATGCAGATTTATTACATTATTATTAAACAAATACACCCTCAGTATAACATAACAGACACTTTAGGTTCAGCTCATTAGCTGCAGACAGTCAGCTATGCTCAGGATGGCCTGGGCTCTCAGCAGCACAAATATCAGAGGTGACATCGGGCCACTGGTGGCTTTGAGTGAGCTATGTGTGTAAATTCCTCGCTCGTACAAGGTAAATACAGAGAAGCGAGGGGGTTAAGCCCCAGGCCCTGTTAGGTCACCCTGTACTCCCTGGCATGGAGAAACGGAGAGAGCGTGGGGCCTGCCAAGCAAGCAAACCCAGGCTCCATTAAGCAAAGCAGGCGGGACAGCTGAGCAAACTATCCCTGAAGAGTGAGGCCTCTAAACCAGCCTGACCACACCACGCTTCAAACATTCTGGGATAACCTCACAGCCCTGGGCACCCTGCACCAAGCACTACACAACGCCAATGCACCAAACTGGAAAGAAGGGTCAAACGAAAACTGATCCCTGTGGCACAGAGGGGGGAGAGAGAGAGAGAGAATAACAGTGAAATGCAAACACCATACCAGAATAAACTGCCCCTCACCCTGAAAGTTAACCAGCCAGACGACATCTTGTTTTCCTGCACATGCCCACCCCTACTAAAACACAGCAAACAGCCACCCTTTCAACACAACTAGTGGGCCTTAAAAGGGAGAGCAAGTCTATGTATGCAACTTTTACTCCCCGGCCCTCTGCCAAGACCACTTGCTGCCTTAGAGCTACACAATTAATCGAAATAAAAGTGAAATCTCAATACACAGATTAGTGCGATTATCAACCTGCAAATGCTGTGATTCAATTAAAAATAAATATATGCACAGTGTTTTACGGAGTGAAGCGTTTTGTGTACAAGCAAGCAGCAGTCTCTCAAAGTGGCTTGCTCACAGTAAATGCTGAACCTAACAAACTCCATTGCATGAGATGTGAGTTTGGGTCACTTATGTGTATTTGAAAACACAGCACACACCAACCATCCTCCCCTAAAAAATTTAAATAAGCATTTATGAATCAGCTGTCGTCTAAAAAAAGATCAGTTTTAAGGGTTCCCTGCGGTTTTCTGTCAAGAAAGCTTATATATGCACAGTGTTTTACGGAGTGAAGCGTTTTGTGTACAAGCAAGCAGCAGTCTCTCAAAATGGCTTGCTCACAGTAAATGCTGAACCTAACAAACTCCATCTCTGCATGAGATGTGAGTTTGGGTCACTTATGTGTATTTGAAAACACAGCACACACCAACCATCCTCCCCTAAAAAATTTAAATAAGCATTTATGAATCAGCTGTCGTCTAAAAAAAGATAAGTTTTAAGGGTTCCCTGCGGTTTTCTGTCAAGAAAGCTCGATTGTTTATATTTGAAACATAATAAATGATGGCACCCATAAATATTAGTACTGTAATTTTACAGTTGTTCTGTAAAGTAAAATTTTGACTTACTATTTTACAGTGAATTACAATAGTAATATTTCCTATTTGTTTAATATTGTAAATTGCAATAATCAAATTGACAAATTGTGAAGCCCTTCAAAAAAATATATATATATAATTTTTTCTCCAAATTGTACATCCTTACTTTATTGTATTTGGTGGTTTTAAAAAATAAAATATACTTAAACTGTGTGTAGGTACCGTAGAAAAAAGTAACAACAGAAATGACAGGAGAGGAGGAAGGAAGAGCAGACATAATAAATGATGGCACCCATAAATATTAGTACTGTAATTTTACAGTTGTTCTGTAAAGTAAAATTTTGACTTACTATTTTACAGTGAATTACAATAGTAATATTTCCTATTTGTTTAATATTGTAAATTGCAATAATCAAATTGACAAATTGTGAAGCCCTTCAAAAAAAAAATATATATAATTTTTTCTCCAAATTGTACATCCTTACTTTATTGTATTTGGTGGTTTTAAAAAATAAAATATACTTAAACTGTGTGTAGGTACCGTAGAAGAAAGTCACAACAGAAATGACAGGAGAGGAGGAAGGAAGAGCAGCTGGAGTCACATAGCCAAGAATGCACTGAGTGGCGCTCCCACTTTGAGCACGGCTGGGCAGGCAGGCACCATCTCTGGGCCAGGGAGTGTGGCACTGCCAGTGCATGATCTCAGTGCCAAGCCCACACTCTCGGTCTGACTGACAAACCTCTATTCACGCAGAGAGAGAAGGGAAGACAGATGAAAAGAAGGATGTGGCTGGGCCAAAGGAAGTGATCTCCAGGCAGAAGGAACTCCATGCTCTCCTGGAGGCAACACAAAGAAATCACGGCAGCTTAAACCCCACTCACAAACGCTCTACAACAATCTCAGTGTTGCTTTTTTCAGCACTGAGAAGGACGCCCCCCCCCCCTTCTGCTAATCCAAAAGTAATAAACAGACCTAGACTGCTCTCTCAGCCTGACAGGGGAGCGTGTATGTGTGCGTCTCAGCAGTGGGTTTAACAGGCTGACCTTTTAAATCAGGCTTAACGTGACTCAATAAGCAAAGTCAGAGCAGTGCTATCAGATGACCCGTGACAAAAGGAAGTCCTGGCGGGCAGAGAGCAGGATGGTCGTTGCTGTACTAAGCGCTAATCAGCAGCAGAGTCTGATTTCTGCACGCATGACTGCACCCATTCACACGGTTGCCCATTCAACACACACAAAAAAAAAAAAAAAAAAAAAAAACCTCTTTTCAAAACAAA